CATCTCCGACGAAACCTGTTCGGATCTCTAGCATCCGCCCAGCCAACTGGAAGTCACGTTGCCTCTAGCGTTGGTACAGAGTTGTTTCGTTCGTTCGAGGAAAATGGAGATTGAAACAGGGCCAACACCTCAACGGGGACTTGATGCACCCCTCTACATGAATTCAACGGGGCTGAGGATCCCCCTCCTCAAAGGAAACACACCATGCACAGGAGGGGAAGGGCTGTGGTTTTGTATAGTCGTGGTTGTGGAACATCATGCCCATCACTAGTTTAACACATGTAAGGGAATTTCCGTGGGTATGACAAAAAGTGGCAACCCCCAATACAACTTTCTACCAACCAAGGTGCTTGGGTACGTGGCTATGCCTTGACAAGGAAAACCAAGAGCAAGCAAACCGCTGAGAGGGATTCTGAAGCCGATTCTCCACAACCATGTCCACCTTCGTACAGTGTTCGTCTGTTGGTTCCCCGTTAAAACCACACAATTTCCAAGAACCACGTGCACACTATGAGTCACGAGGGCTTAAATATTCTAATTGTGTCTGATGTTCAACAAGGAAGTAGGCAAGTGAGGCTGAGGGTAGCCTCAAACCCTCGCAGCATACTGGTGGGTCGCAGACGTGGCGTGTTTCTGAGCACCGAAAGAGGGGGATGAAAAAGGCGTATGCCTGAACAGTGCAGCCATTGTTCTGCCTGGGGTTTTGTCTAGGAAATGTAAGTCACCAATCAGACCCTGTTGCTTCATAAGGGACATGACCACCCTAGGCTCAAAACTGGGACAAGCAACAATAGGAATCCTGACCACAGGGCTTCCTATATTGCCCCTTGAAACATCACCCCTAGGCAAACTCACCTCAAAGGACCAAAGAGCTGAGGCTTAAGCCAAGGACGAAGAAAGGGATTCTCAAAAATGAAGTCTCGAGGTTCCGTTTGGTTTATTTCTATCTAGCAATGGGGCGTCCACAATCTTGCCCGTGCGTCATAATCAAAACCCGCAACTAAAAATGGTCTGCCCAGAATACTTCAAGAATTGACAAGGCGGCCGCGCCCATTAATGGCTGGGATTGTCCATTACTACCCTCCCATTGCCCAGGTTTTCTCGGTTGCTTTCTGCTCCCCTGCTAAAAGTTTAACTTTTGGTGTTTCAACGGAAAACCGATTAGTTGGCAAAAAGCTAAAGTCCTAACATCCAAGCAAAATGCACCAAAGTCTTGATTGTGACCCAGGTGTGGCCAGCTAACCCTTGGATTCTACCTGCCTTTGTAGTGCTGCCATCGCAAATGCTGTGGTTCATCATGAGCTCTCCGGCCTAAAAAACGCGAGTTGGTCGATGGGCGATCCGTCGCCGTAAACGAAGTTGGGTAATTTTCGGGAAGTTCCCCACAAAAAGGGAATTCTGAAAATGGTGGATCGCCTTGCTAGGTATTTGAAGGGTAAACCCAAAGGAACCATGTTAGAAGAGCTCAAAACAGGAAACACCAAGAATACCCACAAGGGTGTTTCTCAAAATAGGAGTGCCCGCGTTGGATAGTGTTCCAGGGAAGCCAAAAGGAAACCACCCGCCCGAGGGGTCTCCGCAAAAACGGCCAAAGGGATTTGGTGTTTTTGGAGAGTTTGTCTCGGGGGGGGAAGGCCAAAGCCTAGGGATCCCATTCTGCTCTACCCCAACCAACTAGGTCCTCCAGCTGGCGGTTAGAATAAGGGTGCCCGATGTTTTTTGCTTTTTTTCTTCTTCTTTTTCTGTAGTCTATTTAGTAGTGGAGCCCTCCCCAAAAAAAAGGTAACAGGGCACTATTGGGGGACCTAGCCAAAGATGGCAAAAACAAGTTGAGGTCGGATTCTTGCACATTTCAGAGGTAGAAGAAGGGAACCAATTCTTAGGCTGCCAGGACCATGTTCGGTGGGGAAGGCAAAAGCCGACATCTTCGAAGGCGTACAGCAACTAATGTGGCTTTCGATGACGTGTCCTTCTGGTGTGTGTGGTCATGCTTTGTGATTTGGGTATGAATTTGAATAAGGGACCCTTTGGTGGACATCATTTAGGTGGGGATTCATGTCCACCACTCACTTTTGAGGTGGGTCCCCATTAAAATTCATGGCCATTTGTTTATGTTCAATGTCTTGGCAAATCTTCAGCGTCCCTCAATGTTTATGGAATCTCTAGGGGGGAAGGTCCAGTGGCTCATCTGTTTTTGGGAATCGGACCCCCCAAATGCCTTCAAAACCACCCAAAAAGGTGTACCCGCAAGAAACACACACCGGATAAGAACGAGAACTCTATGGGTAACTTCTCAATCGGTGGTTGCCATAGAATCATAGAGAAACTCATCGCTCCAAAGGAAGCTCACTTTCCAGGGAACCTAGACTTCCCTTTCAAACATCACATTCAAAGGAAACTCACTTCTAGTTAGGCTCAGTTATAGAATGTATATGTTATGGTCTGCTTCACTTTGAGTCACTGGGAAAATGTAAGAAAACTAAGGCTACCCCAGACTTCACAGGGCAACGATCTCGGAGTCAACACCGAGCCGGGGTTCCCCTGACCGAAACTTCGGCGCAGGGGCCTGCAGCTGGCTGATTCCGAAACCAGTCTCTCCGTTCCTCAGAAGCGCACAAGCACGCCGCTCGCCCCCCCACCCCCCAATAAAAATGCACAAAAAAGCAACAAAAACCTCCCCCCCCCCTCCCCAAAACCAAACAAAAGGAGCAACCGGACTATGTGGCTATTGCCCCCATGAAACGTGTAACCTTTCGCTCCCACATGGTCTGTACCAGCGAGACATGAAGCTTTGTGCTGGTTAGTGGGGAAGCTCACATTTTGTACAAATACATGTTGAAAGTTGAACATGCGACCCAATGGCAGCCGAGAAGATTGGTGCTTCCCTTTGGCCTCCTCCAAAAAACATAACATGTCACCAAAACCGCCCTTGTACACAGACCTCCTCAGATAGGACAAAGAGCGGCGAATTGGTTGAGATTTGTGGTTTGCTCAAGCCACTCATCAAGACTTACCCGACAACTCCCCCTCCCGAAAAACACAAACTAAGCCCAGGTGGTATCCCCAACAAATCCGGGTCTTTGCCTGGAACCGAATCTCCACGAATCTCCCTGAAAGCTGCTAATCAGAGCCGATTCGGGTGCCGGTTTGATGCATGCGAACACGAACTCGGCCCCGTCAGTGCCAGTGGATACCAAATAAACTATGGTAGGGAACCCTTGAATCCACGCTCCTTTTAGTCTTAGGCTGGATTTTGTTGATTACCTTCACAGGGAAACGGAAACACAGGGTTGTCCCTTTGGTTTCCCTTGACACAAGGGCTCTTTCGGGCCTACTGCAGGCCAGCGGCACATCTGAAGAGGCCACGCGTCGATAAAGGCACATCCTCGAGACCCGAACCCGACCACAGCACCCTGTTTGACCAGAGGGGGGATCTCTCCAAACGGATTTCTTGGGTGCTCAAACCACGTTAAGTAGGTTCTAGCCATGGGGACTCACCCCACTCGAGTCCAGCTACCCCTCTTATATTCATGGTGATAACTTCCCTACCCGACCTCGGTTAAACATCCAAGTTCCAACCACCGGGTCCAACTCTATTTGTCCAAGCAGGGACTCTGAAAGGAGTGTTCGGGACTTAGCTTGCCCCATCCAGCCTATAGGTCCAATCCAACCGAGCTAACTTGTGCTATCTTCCTGGAAACTGAACACGGAACCCGGAACCCGCTAAGGGGTCCCTCAAAAAGGAGATTCCACCCAAACCCACAGTGGATGGGTTTTGCAGTTCTTCAAAGGGACTCCTATGGACTCCTCCTCCAAGCAAAGTTGAGGACAGGGGGTCGCAACCCACTGGACGCCTCTTGATAATCATGTTTAGGATATGCAAATCTACACTATACTTGCGCTCAGGGGTCACCGGCAAACCAACCACAACCACCCCTTGGCTTGGCGAAAAAGTTTGAATCGAGAGAGTTACCCTATACATTTGCACTGAGATTGCGAGCTCGTTGTCGAGAAGATAGTTGCGTGGTTTTTCCCACCCAACACATCAGGAAATATGTTTGGCATCTGTAACTCATATTGTGGCTATGGCTTTTGATAGGGAACCACCTCGAAAGTGGTTGGTGGACACGAATTCCCACCTAAATGTCCACCAAAGGGTCCCAAACTCTTTCATGCCCCAGTTCAGCAGAAACCCACAGCGTCCACGGGAAAACAGGGCACCCGTTGTTTGGCCCTCGGTTTTCCAAACAGGAAACCCCCGGACCCCAAAAAAAGGCGACGGTGAGCGCGCGAGCGAGGCGCAGCCAGCCGTAGTGAGGCTCCAGAGCCTGGCGAAGCTCGCGTATCGAGTGGATGGGCGCGTGAAAACCCACGAAAATCTAGGTCCACAGTAGAGGTTAGAAAAAGGGCACCCGATTCTTTTTTCTGTAGTCGATTTCAAGGGAACCCTCCCCCAAAGGGAAAAGGGTGGGGGACCTAGAAATGGTCGAACATGGGCTCATGCAAACCCCAAAAAACCCAGGAAACCCATCGATGGACTCATGAAAACCCAAAAGTGAAGGTAAAGTCCAGGAACTCAGGAAGTGAGTTGGGGGTTGATCCAAAAGGTCTGAATGGGATGACCATTGCTTGGCAAACCGCGAAGATGATATCTTGGCCATTTGGGCGAAGGACATATTGATCAACCCTCATTTGTAGATTCACTTGAAGCGGGTTTCGTTTGTGGCTCACCTTCGAGCATATTGATATGGGTCAACGACCAAAGAGCAAGTGGGATCCAATCACAGGGTTGACTCCACCTGGGTGACTGACCCGCTGAAAGGGTTCCAACAAACAATGCTACACCTTTGGTGCGAGTGAACCCGTGCATTAAACACCCCTTGAGGGGCCCCTGACTATAAGGAAGTTGCAACCCAGTTTAAGCATCACTTGGTTTTGGCCAGTCTCGTTGCTTCATGTTTGTTTGATCTTTCACAAATGCGACGTTCCACTACTTTCCTTCACATGCCACCGTTTTCTTGATCGCCCCGCTCCTTCTTGATGTCATCAATTTCAGACTCGGGCACCTCGGCGACTTGCTCTCTCACCGCGCCCCGCCCACCTCACCTCACCTCACCTCACTCTCACTCTCTCTCCCTCTCGTCTCTCTCTCTCTCTCTCTCTCATAGGTGTTGGCCACTTCGCCCCTCAGTTCGCCTTTCTGGGTCTATGGTTGGAGTGGACTTGGAGCTGTTGCAGCCGCTGCGAGAAACTCTTGGTTGTACTGTACCAACCTAGTAGGCTATCATCGAGCTGAGTGGGGAAACTGGGGTTGGACATGAGTGCGCCTGGGTTTGGTCGCCTTAGTTACACAACAACTACTTGGTATGTGTCAAAATGGCTGTGGGTCAACACCAATGGTACCATCTTGGGGTAGGCACACCACCAATGTTAGTCTATTTTAGTGGGGATTGGGTTTTTCACTGGGGGTACGCATAAATAGAGCTGAACCGTTGACCCCCCCTCTACGGGTGGACGTGTTCCTGTCACCTGTTTGACACTCCGAGGCGACGGCCACGTGGCCCAAACGGCACCGCAGCCAGTCCACCCGCAGGGCTTCCCTGCGGGTGGCGCCCAAGGCAGGGGCCAAAAGAAACGCGCCGTTTTTGTTTGCTTCGGGGATAGGGTGATGATAACCGCTCTCAAGGTAAGCACATGTCTTTTTCTTTCTTTTTTTCGGCCCTCCACCCCGGGGACCATCAAACGAAGGGCAATGTGTGGTTACTGGGTATTCGAGATGGAGACGTGAGACGCGCAAGTCGTAAGTGTGATCAGACTTACCCAAGAAATGCCAGGGCTTTGCAGACATGATTTCGAAGGAACGCGAAAATCCATGAGGTCCCAGCAGGGTTACTGATGGTTGCTGGCATCACCGACGGCTCATTCGTTTCTTTTGCATACAACCTCATATATTTTGAATGTGTACATCGGGTACATCACAGTTACCAGAAAGACATCAGGGGTCATAAAGTTCATTCTGGCTTGGTGAACATCCCAGTCAAGTGGCGTTCCCAAGGCAAATAAAACAAAGAACGCCAGCCATGGGAAGGGCCGTCCCCAATGCACAAACATCCCTACGTGCGCATCCCACTTTGGGCGTGGATTTAGATTCCCCGAAGCCAGGATTGGATAAGACACCGCTGCCGCTGTTGGAAACTCACTTCCTGCGTGGCGTACAGCAAAGAAACAAACAACATGGACACACCACCAGCAAACAAACAAACAAAATCCGAACCAAAACCAACACCAAAACACACCAACACGAACACAAACACCAAACCAACCAACCACCAACCAACCAACCAACCAACCAACAAACAAACAAACAGACAGACAGACAATCAATCTGACACAACAAACGAACACCAACACCAACACCAAACCAACCCACAAGAACAAACCAACAACGAACAACAAAAGACAATTGAGCAATCAACCAACCAACCAAACAAACCAAACCAACCAAACCAACCAAACCAACCAACCAAGCAAACAAATAAACAAAGAAACCCAACAAAGAAGGCAACGCCGAAACCAAACCAACAAAACAAACAAAAACAAAACACTGAAACCAAAACTAACACCAACACCAAACGAAAAACAAACTCAACACCAACCAACCAACCAACCAACCAACGAGCAAACAAGCAAGCAAACTAACAAACAAACAACCCAAACTGAAACCACAACCAACACCAACACCATCACCCAAACCAAACTCAACGCCAACCAACCAACGAACAAACAAGAAAGCAAGCAAGCAAACAAACAAGCAAACAGCCCAAATAACTGAAACCAAAACCAACACCACCACCCAAACCAAACTCAACACCAACAAACCAGCAAACCAGCAAACCAGCAAACAAACAAACAAACAAACAAACAAACAAACAAACAAACAAGCAAGCAAGCAAGCAAACAAGCAGGAGCAACAAAAACAAATCAAAACCAACACCAACACCAAGCCCAATCCAAACTCAACACCAACAAACCAACAAACCAGCAAACCAGCAAACAAACAAACACACAAACAAACAAACAAGCAAGCAAACAAGCAGGAGCAAAAAAACAATTCAATACCAACACCAACACCAAGCCCAAACCAAACACCAACAACAACACCAAACTAACCCACAAACAAACGAACAAATGTGCAAGCAAACAAGCAGGAGCAAAAAACAACAATTCGAAACCAACACCAACACCAACACCAAGCCCAAACCAAACACAAACACCAACACCAAACCAACCCACAAACAAACAAACAAATGAGCAAGCAAACAAGCAGGAGCAAAAAAACAATTCGAAACCAACACCAACACCAACACCAAGCCCAAACCAAACACCAACACCAACACCAAACCAACCCACAAACAAACGAACAAATGAGCAAGCAAACAAGCAGGAGCAACAAATCAACTCGAAACCAGCACCAACACCAACACAAAGCCCAAACCAAACTCAACACCAACACCAACACCAACACCAACCCACAAAGAAACGAACAAACGAGCAAGGAAACAAGCAGGAGCAAAAAAACAAATCGAAACCAAAACCAACACCAACACCAAGCCCAAACCAAACTCAACATCAACACCAACACCAACACCAACCCACAAACAAACGAACACACGAGCAAGCAAACAAGCAGGAGCAAAAAACCAATTCGAAACCAAAACCAACACCAACACCAAGCCCAAACCAAACTCAACACCAACACCAACACCAACACCAAACCAACAAACAAACGCCGATATTCAAATCTGTGCCTCAATCAGCTTGCCCATTTGGCTCCCGCCTGTGCATGGCGAAGGTCTCGCGCTTGAAGCCTTGCCAGAAGGGCGGACTCCGCTTCACCTCCGCTCGAGTTCGGATCCCCGGACTGACTTTTCTGGGGGCTGGGGGGGAGGGAGGGGAGGGGGAGGGAGTCCAAATAAGCCCTAAATAAGGCCTTCATACGGGCTTAACAAGGGTTTTTGTTGAGGCTCCCTCCCCCTCCCCTCCCTCCCCCCCAGCCCCCATGAGACTTTTGGTACCTACATGAAGGTTTACATAGCCAAACTGAGACATCCAACTGGAGCCAATATGAAGGTAAGGAATTGGGCCTTTGCTGCCCGTATGCAACTAGGTAGGACCCAGCCCACACCTTGGTTCTCCAATGCCCCGCCCCCCCCGCCTTTGTTCGGCGAGCAAAAACCTGCAACAAGCATCTTACCATGGTAAACCCCAGAAAACGTGGTTTGCTCAGAAATGCTGGTAATGTCTGAGCGAATCTGGGGAAAATGGGTTGTTGCCCATGAAACGCCTATATGCCTGTAGATCGCAGGGTCTGTTCTTTCTGTATTGGGGGGGCCTTCTGGTGGACATCAGAATTCGGGGATTCCAACCCAACTCTTTTGTTCCTTGGCCCGAACTGCCCCAAGGAACGGCCCCCCACCGGTCGCGACGCAACCGAGCTGCTTGGGACTTGAACTCGGTCTCAGTGACCCGCGGCAGCAGTACCGAGCCCTCGGGGCCGTCACTCACCACCTCGGATCCATCTGAATCAGATTTCACCAGCCGATGTTTGGTGCTGGGGATACTCAGTTGTTCAGCGACCCTGGAGAAAAAAAAGGAACCCTGTTTGGGGCTTGGACCATTTAGTGGGGCAGCCACCAAAAAAAGAGGACAAATAATTCGTGCCACTGAACAACTGAGGATATTCCCCAGATAGACTACCATTTGGGGTGAGGTCGTGTGAGGTCCTTGTAGTTCACCCAGATCAAGGATCGGTCGCAGGCGTGACGTTTTCTTCGTTGAGTGTTGAGCCCGGAGGAATGCCATGCGTTTTTACGTGTTCGTCCATTTGCTGTAGTGTGTGCACTGGGAAAAAATGTGCCCAGTAGTGATAGACTTCCTGTAGAACCAACAGAGGAATAACACATCTTCTTAAGCAAATGGAAGTGTTGGAATTATTGTAACAAGTTTACAGATATATGACCCAGTGAATACCGTGGTTGATTCATAGCAGATGTCTCCTTTTAGAGGGGATGTCCGTTAGATCTGCCAAAAGTTGAACAAAAGTCAGTGGGTCACATGGAAACCCAACCACTCAACCAACTAAAAAGCTAAAAGGGGATGCTGGTAACCACCAAGGAATGATGACCCCGGCTTAATAAAACCCTGGTTGATTAATAGGGGGTGGTGTCCGCTTTTTAGTGGGGGGTTCTCATTCGCTTCGGGAGGGGACACCCCCATATTCATAGGACGTGTTTATTAATACGGGGTCAACATTACTCCGCATCAATCAACGAGCCTAAACCCGGGGGGATGCTTTGTCCCCAGTGATCCGAATTCCCTGCAGAAAGGGATGCAGGGGCTCTAGTTTCATTGCTCCAAACATCACCGCACCAAAAGAGTGCTCACTTGAGCAATGTTGGAAGTGGCTCCAAGGTCCCTCCAGCACAAACTGGCATGTAACGCATGATCATTTTCTTTTACGGTCTTGAGAAACTGGGCTTCGAGAAAAACATGCTGCCCCCGAGGACTTTCCGGATGGACTCTTGAAGCTTCTTTCGCCCCGTCACCTCCTGCAGTCTGCTGCTTTCCCTTTCGGTGTTGGTAAAATGGGATGGAACTTCCGTGCGATTTGTTGCTAACAGTTCCGTGATGGAACCTCCGCTTAAAGAGCAAAAGGTCCATGGCCAGTCAGATGCGACATATGCATCTGCCATAATTCCACTTGGCTGGCGCATGGAAAATGCTCCCGAGCTGGCGATCCGTTTGCGACCTACGGCTTCACGGTAAAATCGATAAAGGGTTTCTGCTCATTTGCGATCCGTCCAACCCAAAACTAGCAAGTCGAGCGAAGGACCTTCCTGGACGATTCGCTCCTTTGTTTCCAGTGAGACCCCCGGTGTCACGAACACGGCGACCGGCGACCAGCGACCGGCGAACGGCTGCCGTGCAAAGGCACACCACGCGCATTCTTGCTGCTGGGGCTGGATTCTGTCCTGGCAAGCGGGTCAAGCCACTCAAGGATCTGGGGGTGAATGTTAATTTGTGGCCCTTTGACGTCATTTAGGTTGGGACTCATGTCACACCCAAGCCACTTTTCGCTTAATGTCCTTAGGTTTTTGCCCACAACTACTCCAAAAATCAGTCCTTTTGATCCCTTTGCGACCAGTGCAGAGTTCGAGGAATCCTGCTGACTGCATGTTTCCAAGCAAGTCTAAAAGGACGGCTTCTCTGACAGTTTTAAGGGGTGGTTTTGTCTTTCAGGGAATTGTTTTCCAGTATTTTGGTGTATTTTTTTCCAGTTTCCCTTTTGTAGAGGCTTACACTGCAGATCTTGTGGTTTGGGGCTCTAGGGTTGGCTTAGGGATGTTTAAGGCCCATTTAGATTTAGGGTGGGTTTAGGGTGGGTTCAGGGTTGGTTTAGGGTTGGGTTAGGGTTGGGTTTAGGTTGGGTTTAGGGCTGGTGTAGGGCTGGTTTAGGGCTGGCTTCGGGTGGGTTTGGGGTGGGTTTAGGGTGGGTTTAGGGTTGGTTTAGGGTGGGTTTAAGGTGGGTTTAGGGTTTGTTCAGGGCTGGTTTGGGGTGGGTTTAAGGTGGGTTTAGGGTGGGTTGAGGGTTGGCTTAGGGTTGGTTTAAGGTGGGTGTAGGGTGGGTCGGCTGGGTTTAGGATTGGTTTGGGGTGGGTTTAGTTGGTTTAGGGTGGGTTTAAGGTGGGTTTAGGGTTGGTTTAGGGCTGGTTTGGGGCTTAGGGTGTTGAGGGTTGGTTTAGGGTGGGTTTAGGGTTGGTTTAGGGTGGGTTTAGGGTGGGTTTTAGGGTGGGTTCAGGGTGGGTTCAGGGTTGGTTTGGGGTTGGCTTAGGGTGGGTTAGGGTTGGTTTGGAGCTGGTTTAGGGTGGGTTTAGGGTTGGTTTAGGGTTGGTTTAAGGTTGGTTTAGGGTTGGGTTTAGGGTGGGTTTAGGGCTGGCTTAGGGTGGGTTTGGGGTGGGTTTAGGGTGGGTTTAGGGTTTGTTTAGGGTGGGTTTAGGGTTGGTTTAGGGTTGGTTCAGGGCTGGTT